GTAAGTCAAGTAGTAATTGTTCTACGTTTATAATGAGACTGGTGTTGTTGTTTAAGGTATTATTGTTGTTTTTATTGTTTTCATGGCCTTAATGATAATGCCTGTGTTGTTTTCGTTGTTTTTATGGTCTTAGTGGTAATGCCTGTGTTGATTTGGTTGTTTTCGGTGTTTATGACGTATTCATAACCTTCACCCTCCTCCAGGAAAGACATGATCGGCCACCCCACCAACTTCCAGCACCTGTACCACGTTGGCTTTGATCCGGGGCCTTACCCTAGAGAGGACGATATGGACAACCAAATACCAGCCCAGGCGGTGAGTAAACAGGCGCGATGGTGTAGTCATTGTAGTTTAAAGTCTCATTGTGGGGGATATGACTTACTGTGGGGAAACTTCGACGCTGAGGTTAAACACACGTTAATTTGACCTCCTGTAGGTGACCACACGTTAATTTGACCTCCTGTAGGTGACCACACGTTAATTTGACCTCCTGTAGGTGACTCCCACATATCGAGTTACCTGGCACAGTTTAGACAACACACTTGACGCTGTTAGTTGGTTTCCACATAGTGAATGCATTTTTAACTAGATATCTGGGTGATTTCATATACTTCTTTTCTAATATCACTCAGAACAGTAATTATACCTTTGTCCTCCAGATTGCAGAAACAATGAAGCGACCTGCACCACCGCCACCACCACCCACTCCTAGAAAACAACAAGTTCCCAAGACCTCAGCTAAAACGTCAACTAACAACCCCGATTCAGTTGATACACCACTTGATGAGTCTTCTGAAGCTTCCAACTGTGTCGATGATTCTCCCGGTAGCTCGGTGTCATCTCCTGATAGATCCTCTTCAAGTGATGGGGAGGGGTTCCATGACCTACCTGCATCTTCTGCTACCACGTCTGCAGCCATGATCGACACATCCACCGAGGAGGTCTCTGCTGTACTTCACTCACCCAGTCAGACGTTGCCTCCCCCTGCCCCAAGTGTCGTCTCAGAGGGGAGTGTCTCTACTGATGTTATGACTGCTTCTCCTCCTCCTCCTCCTCCATCTCTTCCTCCTCCCTCTTCTCCTCCACCGTCTTCTCATCTTCCTCCTTCTCTTTCCCCTTCCTCTTCTCCTCCACCGTCTTCTCATCTTCCTCCTTCTCTTTCCCCTTCCCCTTCTCCTCCACCACCTTCTCATCTTCCTCCTTTTATTTCCCCTCCCTCTTCTCCTCCACCACCTTCTCTACCTCCTCCTTCCCTTCCCCACCCCCCTTCTCCTCCTCCTCGGGTTGCTTCTTCAATCACTTCTTCCTCCTCAGGTGTTTCTTTAGCTAATGATACAAACTCTGATCCCGTTTGTACCCTTGAAATGACAGACCAAAGTACTGCTGATTGTTCCACAGACTCGACCTCCCCTCAAGAGTTAACAGATGAAGCTGCGTCCACTATTGCCTTAGAAACAAGTGAATGTATAGAGCCGGGAACATCTAGTGAGACCACGGAACCACATTCTTCAGACAATTCCGAAGAGTCACATTCATCTTGTGATTCGATGGAGCCAGATGTTCCTTGTGATGCTGAAGTTACAGGTGATCCCACGTCCACCGCCCCAGAGGACTCGGGTATTCCCTCCTCAGTTGTGGGTTTGGAGTCAGACCCACCTACCTCCACCTCGTACTCAAGGCCCTCTCCCTCTACCACCGTTTCCGAAGAGCCAAGTGCTGTTGCATCCACCACCACAAACACAGAACCAAATCCCTCTACCACCACTACAACAGTACCGCGTCCTCTCCCACGTACCACATTTATCAAAACAAGTCCTACCTCCTCAACCACCGCAGCCAGTGAGCCAGAGCCCTCTAACCCCACCACCACAACTGGGGAGTCTCCGTCTTCCTCTACCACACTCACAGAATCAACCTCCTCCACTTCCTCCACCACAACCTCTAATCCAAACATCTCTAACGATTCTACGTCCCCAGACACAAATTCAGTATCCGAAACTCTCACTGGCATGCCTCCACCGGCTGCTCCTCCTCCACGACAGAAAAGGAGGCGACCTGTGTCCTGTCTTCCATCAGCGAATACTCGACCAGTCCCGCCTCCAGTACCACAACCACCCCCTTCGTAATGTGTTCAGCGCCCTCTCTGATCCGCTCCACCAGTTTCACCTTCACGTTCTCCTTCTTCTTTTCACATTGCTTAACTCTTTTTTTCTTACATCTTATCCCCCCTTTCTCTAACCTCACATAATCTTTACTAATTCTCACTCGTGTTTCCTGACCCATCCCTACCCATCGCTTGAAGAGATATACATTTAAAGTTATATATTATATTCTGTATTCCTCATATATCTCACCAATGATGTATTATATCTGATGTAATTAGTGTATAGTGCCCATATTATCCCTTAAAGAGAATTTATGTATATTATGAAGCCGCTTGTATTTACATATATGACTTAGCCTCTGTAGATTATCCATAACTCACTAGAATCAAGATTGAGTCGAAACCAAAATCCTTCAGAATATATTAACAGACTTGATTTGTTTACATAGATGATTATTATCGTTTTAGGGTTTTTTACTTCGAGTTCCAATGTATAGAATATTGTTTACAGTTTACTAAAGATAACAGAGTAAACGTCAAATTCCCACCCCAGGCTTGTGAATGACGTATGGTTGATCGTCCTTTGTTTTAATGATTGAGTTCTTGAGTTCAACCAATTGTTATCCAGATTCTGTCATTTTAGAATTCAATAGGACCAATAATAATAAGAGAACATAGGCCCGAACCCTTTAAGACACACATGAACCATTTATGTTTTCATACAGGGTGACCCTCTCAAAAAAAAAAAAGTTCCTGTGGATCTGAGACACCTAAGTAACCAAAAAAAAAAATCATTTCCTTGTTATAATTCGAACAAGGTAGTTAGCTATGTTTTTTTAATTATTACATGTGTACAGGGACCTTATAATGACAATATCTTTACCTTTTTGTTATTATTTTGTTAGTTTAATGAAGAGTGGGCTAGGCTACTGCTGTGTTAACGTTGTGTCCGTAGCCTAGTATTGTGAGGCTTGGTTAAATATGGTTAAATAACATGATATAATATTGTTAGATGTCAGAACGTTAAGGTAATTATGTTAAGAAGCTTCAGAAGGTCTTGCAGCATAACAGAATACAACATAACTGTCCATAGTTTAAAGAGAAGAGAAAAACAGATATTGAAGTTTTTAATTTGACGGGTCATGTTTTCGAGGTTTATATGATGATTCAATTTTGTTTCAGGGTAATTTATTCATATATTGAATTTATTCTGTATGAGATTATGATATAGGTACAGGTGATATAATGGTACTAATCGTTTTACTTACCTACAGTAGATACGAGTGAAATTAATTGTCATTATTGTAGCGTCGTATTTTTAAAAGTATCGTTGACATCAGAGTTAGATATTAAATATAATTACATTTTATTATTAACTGCCTAAATTGTCTACTCAAAACTGGATGTATTTAGAGTAATTTTAAAGATTACCCGAAGATTAGACACCCAGGCTAACCTAACCTAACCACACTGTTATACTCCCTAAATTAAGCCACAAATTTATGTCTATTAATGTGGATTTATTATGGCTGATTAATCCCCAGAGCAAAAAATGGCTGATTCGACTCATTGTTAATATATCGACTCTGACACTATGTATGGATGTATTGGCTGACTTAGTGTGTTTGTAGGTGGATTTTTGTCTGAATAATTATCTGCTTTGTTTGTCTTATGAATTATTAGCTGGCAAGGGAGTTTTTTTTCTGATCTCTCTCTCTCTCTCTCTCTCTCTCTCTCTCTCTCTCTCTCTCTCTCTCTCTCTCTCTCTCCCTCCGTACACCTCCCTCTGTCCCTCCCTCAGTCCCTTCGTTTCCCCTCCCTCGCTCCCTTCTTTCTCCCTCTCTTTCCATTCCCCTCTCAGTCCCCCTCTCAGCCCCCGCCCCCACTCCTCTACCCCTCTCCCCGCGTGGTGTACAGTGTTCAGTACTCCCGATCAATAAACTACTTCCATCATACTGTCCACTATAAACCTTGCAAGCCGACAGACACTCTCAGAACCCAACAGTCAGTCAGTTAACTAATTGTAAATAATAATAATATATCACCTTAACGAGTACCATTGAGTTTTAATGAAGTTTCTTGTTGGTTATCGGTACATATGTTGTTAAGTCCTACATCATGTAATATACAGTATGTACCTAAGTAGCTTATGCCTGTAGAGTGACTGTGTTGAAGGCGCGATCCTCATATTAAGTTAATGGTAATAATAATAGTATTTTAAGGTATATGAAGTTATTAGGAATTATTTACTTTAGATTTTATAAGTAAGATGATATTGGAGCAAGTGTTAACGAGGTTATCATAATATTTACAGTAACATATCTCTTAACACTAGCCAGTTTAAGGATGTCATTTATAAAGTTCATCGTTTATTCTATTATTTCGAGATAAATAATTTGGTAATATCTATTCACAAACTACTGAATTTTCCTCGGGTTAATCAGTAATTCCTGACATAATGATGGCATTTTTGGGAGTAAGAAATGGCCAACATATCCATTGCATGACAAACTTCTTTATATATTATCGAGGAAATATCTATTGAGAGTATGAGAGCCATTATATACGGCGTCTTTGTAAGAAATGTGAGATAATTTACAATGACGTCTTATCTCTTATCTCCTATCAGCGATAACATCTAAAATGGAGTTACTTTGAAAACACGACTGACAAACAAGTCGTAATACTCAACCCCAACTTCTCCCAGCGATGAAATACATGTCTGTTTTGTAAAGTCTATAAAACAAACAATAACAAGTTGAAAAAAAAGATGATGTACAATATATTTAACGACATGAACATACAGAATCATGCGAGTGACCATGTTTAGTAACCCCAAATATGGCAAATCCGTGTTGGTGAGGTTGGCAATTACGCCATTGAGTCGCCTGAGTGAATAATCGTCAGTTGTCAGCGTCACGTTGGAGGAGAAGGACGTAGTGAGTCGTCGCTTTAGTTAGCCAGAATCTTGTGTGGGGGGAGAGTAGAATGTTTTTATTTGTTGTCTGGACCAAAACACCTTGTGGGAGACTGTGTGACTCTTACGAGGGTCTGAACACCCATGTGGACTTTGCATCTCAGAACCCGATGTAAAAACTGCTGAATATTGTGCAACACATACCTAAACATTGTAGAGGACAGCGTGAGCCAGCTACTTGGATTTAAACATCGCTGAGGACAGTATATTTCAGGTAGGTAGACGGGTGACTTATAAACTGTGGTATATAAACATCACCTGTGGTATATAAACATCACCTGTGGTATATAAACATCACCTGTGGTATATATATAAACATCACCTGTGGTATATAAACATCACCTGTGGTATATAAACATCACCTGTGGTATATATAAACATCACCTGTGGTATATAAACATCACCTGTGGTATATATAAACATCACCTGTGGTATATAAACATCACCTGTGGTATATAAACATCACCTGTGGTATATATAAACATCACCTGTGGTATATAAACATCACTTGTGGTATTTAAACATCACCTGTGGTATATAAACATCACCTGTGGTATATAAACATCACCTGTATAAACATCACCTGTGGTATATAAACATCACCTGTGGTATTTAAACATCACCTGTGGTATTTAAACATCACCTGTGGTATATAAACATCACCTGTGGCGTATAAACATCACCTGTGGTATATAAACATCACCTGTGGTATATAAACATCACCTGTGGTATATATAAACATCACCTGTGGTATATAAACATCACCCGTGGTATATAAACATCACCTGTGGTATATAAACATCACCTGTGGTATATAAACATCACCTGTGGTATATAAACATCACCTGTGGTATATATAAACATCACCTGTGGTATATAAACAGCACCTGTGGCGTATAAACATCACCTGTGGTATATAAACATGTACCTTAACACCCTATTTCGTGAAAACTAAACATCAATTTAAACTTCGAGTGACAATGCAAACAGTGTAAACATCGTGAACATTGACAATTATTATGAAGGCAATTTCTTTAGACTTTTTAAACATTTAGGAGCTGTTTACAATTTTTATTTTGCTGATTTAAACGTTTGTGTGAGACAACATTGACCAAAACATTATTAGTGACATTTGCATAGTTCTTTTACGGTATGGTACAACTGTGTTTACCTTAATATTATAGAGGACGTCTTTAAGCCAGTTAGTAGTACAATAGAAATGCTATGTTTAACTCAAATTCCTAAGCCAAAAACATCTCTGAAAACTAAACATCGTGGAAGTCGTAATGTTGTATTTGGATCTAAACATTGTGGAAATATTTTAGTAAATTTTAAAGACCAAATTAAGTGTTATACAAGATAATAGAATGAATAATATCCCAAATACGAAAATTTCAATAGTTATCCTGAAGTATATTACGAGTCAGCTGTTCTGTAAAGACGTAAAAAACATCGATATAACATAAACATTACAGAGAACGCTTACACATCAGTATAAACTTAGCCACTGTAGATAACAATAGCCTCTGTTGTTCCTCTACAGTTCTTGTCAACCATTTAGTGGAAATAAAAAAGTCATGAATACGAATTATGTAGTTTATCTGTTGAAATAAAACAAGAACTAGAATTTCAAAACACGTGTTAATGTGTAAGTTCAGTTTAGTTCAATTTTAAAATCGTTATATATGTTTATATAGATTCAGCATTTGTATAGATAATTTAGGTATACAAATATCTCTACCATTGTCAATTTATATGTCAATTTTACTGACTATCTAGCCATCTATCGCTTCATATGGTTGCGTAATGTGGACGACTGACAGGCGCTGGGGGTGACTACTACATTACGTGAAGTCTCTTAACTGATCGATGTAAGATAAGACACATAACTCACGCTCAAAATTACTATCGAAAATACACCAAAACTCTACTATTAACTTGATACATTTAATGTATTCTTACGTCTTCTGTTATGGGAAATATTTATCTTGTGCCAAAATTAAAAGTTGTATCGGTATTTTAGCGTTGGTCTGCGTGAAAATGATCAGTGTCGCAAACGTATTTTATTTAAGTTATTGGTAGATTTGATTAATATAGTTTGTTTCTATATAGTATTAATGAATGAATAACTAACACCTTGTGAGCTAAATAAATCGACAGTTGTGTTTAATACGATGGCGGATTAACCGGCATCCTTCTCTTATCAGTTAATGTTGCATCTTTAGAAAATAACTAATATTTTCGTTAATAAATATAACATTTTTGTCGATATTGAAACATAATAAAAAAAAATCATTCTATAGAAAAAACAAATAAGTAACGCCTTTTCTCTCTAAAAATATTGTAGCATCAGGCGAGTGGCAGATGATGGAGCAGCAAGCACTAGGCTGCGTGAGGCCAGCAGACAGTTATCAACAAGAGCAGCAGACGACGATGCTCTACGCCACACCAGCCTCACGACCTGTGGCCACTGACAGAAACTTCACCAGGGCAAAGGAGAAGAGAAAAACCAGGTAATGACACCGTCGAACTAGTTATTAGGTGTATAGGTAATCTCAATAGTTTTTCTTGCTCTATTTATAAGTAAAACAGTATTATTCTAATTCGTGACTACCCTGGATTCTCCCCACCCCACTTTGATCTTTAAGCTTGAATAACAACGCAACTTATTTGACGCAGTTACTCCTATTGTTGCTATTATCTCATTACGCTATATTTTCTTTGTTTTTGTGCGTGTGTCTGTGTAATGTGGTGTGTCAACATTGCTCGGCTGGGCCATGAAGAAGGGACGCCCAATTTCGCACTTCATTTTCAGGTATTAGCGATTAACAAGAGTCTTTGTGGATTACGATATAATACTGACTCTTTTTATGTTAAATCTATAGTGTATTTTATGTATATATTTTGTGACTTTTACGAGTAGATTAGTATTTCATGTGTTAATGGGATATAGAATAGTTAGCCCAGTAATCATCAAAGAAAATGGATATCGATTTATGAAAAGGTAAACTATAATATTTTGCCACACGCTAATCCCTTTGTTCAGTGGGATAGAAAATGTTGGGTTATGTGTCACTTAATTAAAAGGCCAGAGGAGTGTCATCTATAGAGTCTCATTAATCCCGCGTTTGTAGTGGGATCGGCTTTTCGGCTTCTGTCAATTATCACTCCTGTTCTTCTCTCTTTGATTGTACTATCTACGTGTTATACATTTCCGTCACATTTTTTCCCAGTTTACCCTTCGTCTTTCTCTGCTTCTCCTACTATCCACCACTGGCATTTCCGCTGCTCTTCTCATTATATTTTCTCCCCTCAAATATATTTCTTATCCATCTCAATCTCGACTCCTCTGTTATCGTAAATACTTTCTCAATTCCTCGTCAGAGAGATATCCACTGATAACGTTTTTCACATTCTCAATTTCAGTTCATTTAAGTAATATATTTCAGTTTTTTCCTCAATACTCAAGTTTCTTTTCCATTTAATAATATGTATTTAATCCAGGGGTACATCAAATTTTTCTGACCCGGTATCCCTTGAGACAACATTGACTCATAACCTCATCACCGAGACACAATATAGAATGGTAATAAGCTGGATAGAGGAAATTCATTTTTTGTTATAATTTACACTCTATTAAATATGTTAGGATTAGCACATTATTATTTGAGGTCGAACAATCCATTTTTGTTTACTCGTCAGTGTGGGGCAAGACCATAGTATGCACATGAACAGATAAGCACACACACACACACACACACACACACACACACACACACACACACACACACACACACACACACACACACACACACACACACACACACACACATGAGAGTACAAACGATAACTCATACACCTGCCTGCATTTATACCACACACATTCATCCCAGTCACCCTTAGACCACCAATCCACACACACACACCCACACATGACTTTATCCACTTGCCTACATATTCCACACCTGTCATACAACCTCTCTTTAATTAACAGGTAAACCAGTCTAACACATTATATTGAAGTAGTACACTGTTATTATGTCTTAGTGTGAGGGTTACGGTGTTTAGTCTTCAAGTACAGCAGTGGTGTAAATTCTTGCTCACATAGATAGGTGTTTGGGAACATCAGCATTAGAGATTTGACAGAGATATAAGCCATAGCAGGGTGGGAGAGACTCATTTTTTGACGAAACTTGTGGAATAAAGTCATTCACTCAACCCAACCCATAGCCCAACCAAATCCAACCAAATCCAACCAAACACAACGCAAGCCGACCCAAACCAAACCAATTCTCCGTATCACATTACCATTTTTAATCATCCTTATCTAGACTCAGGATATAGAACGACAAAAACAATTCCACTTGTTATTAATTATGCATTGTGGGGGGTGTGGGGGTGTGGGGGGTGGGGGTGGGGGGGTTATTTACAGATTTAGAAATGACGTAGTTGTTTTTTTCTCTCACGCTTTTGTTTACGTTTCAGTCGAGGAAGAACAGACGATGCCCAGCCCCTCAGCAAGAGCATGATCGGCCCACCTATTGACTTCCAACATGTTAGTCACGTTAATTTTGATACCGCCTCATCCTCCCCCCCGACCAACACCCCATTCAGTGAGGTTAGTGTGTGTGTGTGTGTGTGTGTGTTGTTACCTGTGTATGTATTGGGGTCATTGTTATGGCGGTGTTCACTGACGTAACTCACACACACACACACACACACATACACACACTACTATGGAAGTTTAGTTTATATATCAACACAAACTCAAAGTAATGTTTATATAATACCTTAAAGCGATGTATATAGAGTACCATAAATTAATGAATATCCAGTGAAACCTTCCATTTAACGGACTATATTGAGATGAAATTCCGTTATATCGAGGGTCCGTTAAATACGAAACCTTCATCTAACGTCTTGTATGGAGATAAAAGTGCGTTATATCGAGGTTTCACTGCATATAGTATACAAAAGCGAAGTGAGCATCGTAACAAAGCATTAATCTACTCAACAGACTATGCTAGATCGACGGGAACAAGTGACAGTTGATCCCCAGAGACAGAAACACAGCACCAACACGACGGAGAATCACAATAACCTGAAGAAGACCAAGAAACTCAGCCGACGTGACTCCAGTACTCGACTCCAAGACCATCCCGCGTCACAAGTTAGGTACAGCGTGTATATAACCGGTTAATAAGTAGTAGTAGTAGTAGTAGTAGTAGTAGTAAGACACTATCAAAGTCCCAAGGTGTTTAGTGATGTTTGTGGTCTGGAGTTACATATCTTTACTTTTCCTATAGCTATGGTGTACAGTATGGTGTACAGTATGGTGTATAGTATGGTGTACAGTATGGTGTACAGTATGGTGTATAGTATGGTGTACAGTATGGTAGGTTAAAGTTAGGTTAGGTAGACGTCCACACACACACACACACACACGCGCGCGACTTTAGGCCAGAGTCAGTCAACAAACATTTAACTAACCACAAGCTTTAGTAGGTCATTTTATTTACTGTGAAATATTTAATTATCTTTCTTCGCCAAACTTTTTTTCTCTGCTCCAATCTTTAAAATGGTGGTTCACAGTCTGTAGGTTTTGTGTGAGATGTAGTGTGAAGTTATTGTTGACGATTCATGTTAAGATCATCCATACTCTCTCCTCACCTTTGATATTTTCCAGGAAGGTCACGATTGGTCCGCCCACTAACTTCCAGCACGTTACTCATGTTGGGTTTGATGACACAGCGACCTCAAATGTTATCGAGGAGAGACGCGAGGTACACGACTCGTCCAAACCAGTGAGCAGTGTGTACAGTCCAGTAGTAGTCGTAGGCCCTTATAGACTTCCCTAGGTTAATGGTTTAGCTTTGATGTATTGTTTGTATACCAGCACTGTCTTTGTATACGCTGTGCTAGTGTGGACTTGTGTGTTGGTGTTAATTTGGATAAACGTATCTGTCTATCTCTCTAATCGTAGCTTAAGAATTTTTTCAATCTAATTCTGGTTTATGGAATTTATAGACAGGTTATAAACTTTACAACCCGATATTTCCGTCTTTTTCGTGATTGATCTCATTCTTTTACTTGTGTTTACAGACGAGTCTACGTGAGGCGCGAGCACCTGACATAACGAGTCGTAGCTTTTCCTGTGATTCTACTGATGTTGGCCAGCGGGAGGCCCAGTGGGGGTACCAACAATGGTCCAGACCTGACGGTGATGAATACCAGCAGGAGGCTCAGTGGGAGGACCAGCCATGGTCAAAACCAAACTGTGATGGTGATAAACAAAAGGACCAGCGGGAGAGCCGTCGATGGTCCAGACCTGATGAGGAGGAGGAACAATGGGAGGAACAATCATGGCCCAATTTGCCTGACGACCTCTCCTCGTCCATCCTTCCACCTCCTGCAGGGTTCAGGTAAGGCTGAGACCTCCTGTAATGTATTGGTGAAGATGTTATCAGTTTCCACAAATCTTATTTCCTAAATGTGTGAGGACAGTATAATCATATCATGCCCAACTTACCAGGAAGGAGATGATCGGTCCGCCCACCAACTTCCAACATGTACTTCACGTCGGCCCAGATGTTGTGGACACTGAACTGGAACTATTGATGAAGATGGTGTGTATGAGGAGTTTGTTGGACCGGTAATGATATTGTAGGTCCTTGTTACAAACCCTTTAGATCTATATAGTCCTGAAAGATAAACAGCAACATAATCTAGACATTCAATAAGATTCTATTTGTGTATCTATGAAGTGTGAAGACATAACTGGTTACCTGACTCTTGCCACTGTTGTTTATAAACGTTTAATACTGTATCACACTTCTCTTTACAGGCAAATCTAAATCAACAAGATAAATCCGATGTGAAGGCTACAGACAGTGTTATGGCTGGTGTCGAGGAGAGACCGGGAGAGGACACCACACAGCCTCAGCACCTGACCATCCAGCTCGACGCAGATGACACTCCCTCCACCACACACATCCCTACCCCGCCACCCAGGTTCAGGTAAACACACACACACACACGGACCTGAGTGACCTTTACCTGGTGTCTGGGAAGTCAAATTATGAATCAAGAAAACTATGCCAGATATTTTTTTTTCATTGTTTTTCGGAGGTTTTGTGTTGACTAAGTAGAGGAGTCGGAATGTAAACAATAATCTGATGTAGGGGATAGGAGCCTAAACTAAAAAAAAAGGAGAGAGAAAGCCTAATGGAAATTAAAACTAAAAATAGAGAGATAAAAACCTAAAGGAAATTAAAACTAAAACAAAGAGAGTAAAAGCCTAAAAGAAATTAATGTACAGTGTTTACTTTTCTTATAAGTGTCACCCATGGTAGTCGGTTCTCACATATTGCAGGAGGAGCTTAGGTGGGTCCCCGGCCTCTAGCTACCAGCATGTGAGTCACGTTAGGTTCAGTGACGCTACCACGACCCTGCACCAGGTGAGTCAAGACCAGCATCACCTCCAACCAACCAGAGAGGTGAGTGTTGCTTTGTTTCTTTTATGGTGGTGATGTTGTTGTGATGATGTGGTTTTGGTGGTGGTGTTGTGGTGGTGATGTTGTTGTGGTGATGTGGTGGTGGTGGTGGTGATGATGTTGTGGTGGTGGTGGTGTTGTGGTGATGATGGTGGTGGTGTGGTGATGAAGGTGGTGGTGTGGTGATGAAGATGGTGGTGTGATGTGTATGGTAGTGTTGTGATGAAGATGGTGGTGGTGTGGTGATGAAGGTGGTGGTGGTGTGGTGATGAAGGTGGTGGTGGTGTGGTGATGAAGGTGGTGGTGGTGTGGTGATGAAGGTGGTGGTGGTGTGGTGATGAAGGTGGTGGTGGTGTGGTGATGAAGGTGGTGGTGGTGTGGTGATGAAGGTGGTGGTGGTGTGGTGATGAAGGTGTGATGGAGAGCGCCATTGGCATTAATGTAACGTCATGGAGGTCCTTTAATTTTTGTTTTTATTTATCTTTTGTTAATAACGTTGGAACATTAACGTAAGGTGATAATTCATCTCTAACACTTCAATGCTTGTTACCAGACACAGACCAATTCAGAGGAACAGCTGCCTTTCCCAGTGACCGAAAATGTTATATTTGACTATCCGGACCTCGGGCAGGAGGAGCCCCGGTGGGACAACCAGGAGTGGTCTAGGTCCAGCAGCGACGGAGGTCAGAGGGAAGCCCATTGGAAGAGCCAGCGATGGTCCAGGCCTGACTTGCAAGACGATCTTCCCCCGCCTCTTACCCCGCCACCTGTAGGCCTAAGGTACAGTCCCCCTCTGCTAATCCTTTTAAGTAGCACTAGACAAAAGTGTTGGAATGTCTGTGAAAATGTTTGGATTATAAACATCACAATTATGTAGACAATTTTCTCCTCACCCCCCCCCCCCTCCCGCCCTCTCTCTCTCTTCAGGAAAGTCATGATTGGTCCACCCACCAACTTTCAGCATGTACGTCATGTCGACCAGAGCAACGCCAGACAGGAAGCACAGCACCTGACGAAGGTAAGCTACTGAACATGAAGTTGAATGCCAGTTCTTTTATTACTGTACTGGATATAGTCGAGAGACAACGAAAAATATTAAACAACACAGGAAGTCAATAAATTATTACAGTCTTGAGTAACTTCCGGAATAACAACAATCACGGGTTGTCGAGTAATGAAGCCAGCCAATTAATGTTTAAACGTAAATCCCCAATGTCACACTGCTCACAACATGGCAGGTCCAGTTTAAAAGGACCTCGTGTGGGAGCTTTTCAATGTTTACGACTGGACTTATGGGATCAAATTAGAGTTTTAAAGATGGTATAATACTGTTAATGAAACCTGTACCCCCTCCCCCCCAATACCTTTCAATTTCCGTGCATGTTTAGACAATTCCAAAGTTAGTGTGACATTGATTTTTACGACCAATGACACAACATAAACACCGTCTCACACCACCCCTTCAACTCATGCCACACGTCACCTAACAGGCCAGTAGGAACGACCAATCAGCACCTGACCTCGAGACTTCTAAATCCATGCCGAATTTGATGGAAAGACGTGAGGGACTGAGGAAAGCGAGGAGCCAACAGGATGACAGGCACGGTGTCATAGGCATTTCCTTTACGACCCGACTGTCATCACCGCCTCCCCCCAGGATGAGGTAGGTTCGTGGGTTAATGCCTTTATATTGTCTTGCATATTGTGGTCTGAGATCCATTGGACTACGTGCCCAAATTCTTAACAGTCAAGTTTTATTATTATTCTTATTCTTATTATTATTATTATTATTATTATTATTATTATTATTATTATTATTATTATTATTATTATTATTATTATTATTATTATTATTAATCTTTCAGGAAGGACATGATTGGTCCACCCACCAACTTTCAACACGTCACTCATGTTGGCTTCGATGACAACACAACATCCCAGGTGAACCAAGGGAGTCAGCATCACCGCGACTCGTTCACAGAGGTCAGCATTGAGTCTAAAACAAATAATGATAAATACTGTCATGCTGTTAATGGTTGTGGACTTGGCGGGTTTCCTCTCTCTCTCTCTATCTCTCTTTTTCTTTTGGTAATTTTTGAGTTTTATTATCAGAAACAGACTGGCTGGGATGAAAAACAAAGAACCGAAACTAAGGCTCGAATCTTTCATCGTGATTCAGTGGACAGCGAGGGAGGGCAGCAGCAGAAACAGAGATGGGAGAAACAGAGATGGTCCAGCCCTGTCACCCTAGAGGACTCCACCACCCCACCCTGTTCCCCGCCTCCTGTCATAAGGTACTGTATAATTACTGTAAGCCTCTGTTACACACACACACACACACAGTACAAGACTTATGTAATTATGAGTTAACTAAATCACTGTATTGATTAAATTGTTGTCAATATAAACATACACAATGAAATCACAAGTGTTACATACATCGATAGCTTATCACTTTATACACACATCAAGTTACATACATTGAAGATAGTGAATAGTTCAGGTTTGTAAATCGTTCAGGCTGTAACTAATTATTCATTTAGATTATGTCACGTCAACGATAGGGTGTTGAATCATCGGGTGAAATGGTGGTAATCTTCACATGTTCCATCACTAGACTTGATAAAATATTCTAAAAAAAATAAATAAACAGAGTCTGAAATATATTAAGTGACATTTTGTTTTCTATTTCCCTACAGTAAGGATATGATTGGTCCTCCCACCAATTTCAAACACGTACGTCACCTGGACCCAGACAGTGTCCAGCAGGAGCTACAACACCTGACGAAGGAGGTGAGGTATTTCTGTCTTCGAGTTTTTCCCTTTTCTTGTCGAGGTCATTGATACTTGTCCTCCTCCATCCTGCTCTCTTGCTCCTCAGGCAGTCTGCTATCTCTCTCTCTCTCTCTCTCTCTCTCTCTCTCTCTCTGGCTCAGATTTCAAGCATTTTCTTCCCCCTCCACACACACACACACACACACACACACACCAGAGGAAATAATGTGTGTTTTTGCATATCACTTATACGTCATTGTGTGTGTGTGTGTTTGTTTCTGTTTGTTTGTTTGTTTGTCATAAATATCATTATATTACTGACTGAACCTGTAAGAAAATGAAATTCACTGACTTGTATATATTGTGTTGTGTTTACCTCAGGGTGATGTCAAGGTTAGCAGACGTCCATCAACACGCCGTGACCAGACAGAACCATCCCCTCCTACAAGAGTGAGGTAAGGACCCTAGTACTGTACTTTAAGATCAGTTTAACTTTGTTCGTCTAATAATATAATATACCTTTTTTTATGTTTTCTAGATGAGATGAGATTTATTTATTTTATTTATTATTATTGACAATTTCCTCAATATTACTAAGCTCCTCCTTCATCGTCTCCTCCAGGAAACATATGATTGGGGCGCCTACCAACTTCCAACACGTTGCCCATGTGGGGATTAATGCATCTTGGCAGGCCAATAATAACGACGGCGACCAGCAGCAGGAGGGTTCTACGTCACTGGTGGGTCCTGTGGTAGAGAGAGAGGAGTGGCGGTAGTGGTTGTAGAGGTAGTAATGGTGGTGGTAGAGAGAGAGAGACAGAAGGAGACAGAGAGAAGTAATACCAGTTAATATTCCTTTTACCACCAGGACACTTCAGCCCAACATCACACAGTTGACGGGGAGACCTGAAACAACAACCAATGAAATTACCGGGAGGCTATGAGGCTCCCAGTTACCCCTAGTAGGAGGATCGTCCCCCCCCCCCTCGTCCATCACCACCACGAGAGGCTCTTCCCGGTCCGGTGATCTTACTGGGAGTCTATTGGTGGATAGTAAGACGCAATCAACTCCGATAGTACAAGAGTTGAAGGGGTTATCGTGGCTTAATCCTTATCTTCCAAGAACACTCATGGATCACCTGAAGATTAGACACCCTAGCTTATTTCACTTGAGGATTAACCTAACCTAACCAAACCACCCCCATTCCCTCGTCTCCTTACACTAGGTATAGAATTAGGATGGTATCAAGTCAGTGTACTCTAGTTAAACTCAGGTGTTTAATCTACAGGTAATTCAACAACACTTAATAATAATAATAATAATAATAATAATAATAATAATAATAATAATAATAATAATAAAACACATTACATAATTAAGACTAAAGGAAGTGAATTAAAGTATTATGAAGTTTACTTGTGATATACAGTGTAGACAGTACAGTATAAATAAATAAATAAATAAATATATTACGTAGAGATATGAAGAGAAAGAATTATGGCATTTATTACGAAATTATATGTGAGTATGAGAACTAACTGTGTTTTAATTACACCTTTCTGGGGTTTAATACGTGGGGTTTAGTTTTAGAGAGACAGAATGTTTTAACTTATTGAGTATAATGATTTAATCCCGTGAGTACGATATTACACCTTGAGTATGATGATTTAATCCCTTAAGTATGATTATTTAACCCCTTGAGTATGATGAGTTGACCCTTTGAGTATGATAATGTAACCTATTGAACACGAGTACAACCTCCTGAGTACAATAGTAATCCTATAAGTATGGTGAACTATTCCCATGCGCGTACTCAAGGAGTTAAGTCATCATATTGAAGGTGGTAAATCGTGCTCAAGGGCTTAAGTCACACTGAAGGATCGTGTTAAAGGGGGTTAAATCATCGTACTCAAGGGGTTAAATCATCGTACTCAAGGGGTTAAATCATCGTACTCAAGGGGTTAAATCATCGTACTCAAGGGGTTATATCGTACTCAAGGGGTCAAATGATCGTACTCAAGGGGTTAAATCATCGTATTCAAGGGGTTAAATCATCGTATTCAAGGGGTTAAATCATCGTATTCAAGGGGTTAAATCATCGTATTCAAGGGGTTAAATCATCGTACTCAAGGGGTTAAATCATCGTACTCAAGGGGTCAAATGATCGTACTCAAGGGGTTAAATCATCGTACTCGAGTGGTTAAATCATCGTACTCAAGGGGTCAAATGATCGTACTCAAGGGGTTAAATTATCGTACTCAAGGGGTTAAATCATCGTACTCAAGGGGTTAAAATTAATTTCTCACGAGACAAAACACGTTAGTCAGAGATGGTAAAAAGGAATTGTTTTTTCTTTACAACTTTTGCAAAAAATTCCAAGCTGTATTTTCCTTATAAACAGATATTCAGTTTAAGATTAATATGAGCAGTAATGTAATTTTTCTACAATAAATTCTTCAGGTATCAAGCGACACAAACATTAAATCCTGCTATTGTTGTTGTGTGTTTTACGTAACGCGATGAAGGTTTTCTTGATGTTTTTATTTTCGTAAACTCAAGCTATAAAACACACACAGTACGTGACTATTTAGAGTTGGACGGTGGTGCATATTTAGACAGAGGTACTGGTGGACTGAGCTTGGTTGAGGGAGTGTTGGGTGTTATCTTTAGATAAGAAAGATGATTCAGTGGAACTTTGAGATTGTTGGTGTTGTGTCTGTCTGTCTCTCTTTCTCTGTCTCTCTCTTTCTCCGTCTGTCTGTCTCTCTCTCTTTTTTCTCTCTCTGTCTCTCTCTGGAACAACTTGAATTATACATTAATAAAATCCTTCGGTACGTAAAGAATATTTAAATTAACGATTATCAAATAAATAACATATAATTTTCTTTATAATAATATACCGTTAAGATTTTGTTAAATATAAAATAATCCCCGTTACAGTTTCACAAAATAATATTATTTCTCAGTGACATAAAACAATTGCCTAAGACTGGGAATATTTACGTGTAGGTTGGCAACTCTGCTTATCATGATACGGGTTGGCATTGGCAATACTTTGGAGTTTGGACAGTCAGTAAAGAGACAGAGAGTAGGGAGGACGCTGGAAGTTACTCTCGTCAATACTGTGTTTCCCTCCCCATCAGAAAACACCAGACACGGGAGGTAATGTGGACCAATTACGAGCATCACTTATACTGAAATGAATTTTAGGTTGAGTTAGAATGACTAGAGTGTGACGTATGAATTGTTTGCAGTTTTTTATAGTTGTTTTATGAATCTCAGTTATCGTAAGCAAGTTCAGGAAAAGTCATTAATTCTCTCATAATGTCGAATTTTATAATGTTTATACGTCCATTTCAACAACTGGAATAATTATTTTACTGGCCTACGAGAGAAAATTAAAACCTGTGAGTATTTTAAACGATCGTCGTATCTTTCAGACCGACGCTGATTAATATTGCCACTGATAAAATTCTGTTGAAATTAATTATTATCGGACAGAGGAGAGGAAACAGTTGGTTGATAATAATGAAATATGGATGGTATTAACTATTATAAGTACAATATTTCCTTTTTATACTAGACTAATGAGATAAGCGTTAGTCTTTTGCTTTGAGCCTAATGTGACATAGAAACAGTATAGCTGCGGACACTACCACCATATCTCTGGACTGTGGTGATTATTTTTGTACTGTATGTTCGTCTTCAAAATACGTTGGGTGGGGGGGGGAGGTCCAGGGTGTTTGTAGAATAATTAGTGCCCGTTTATTAACTTATGAGAGGCTTCGCTGATCGACTGGAATTTGGTAAACAACTATATTAGTAGGGAAGCATGGGGTGATTTAGTAGTAATTTATAAGTATACCACGAAGGACCTTGTTCAGTCTAGAGTGTTATGACGGCACCAAGTGTGAGCTCAATTAGGGTCAGACTACTACAAGTATCTTCAGGGGACGTTTTTCTTGGACCTGAATGATCCCTGATTGTTCCTGACGTGTCTTGGTCTAATAAAGGGGAATTGTTAGTTCTGGTGAGGGTGTAGTCTCTGGGTTAACTATCAATGACGGACTAAAACAATTCAACCAAACCTAACCTGATGTACAGTAATGTCTCAGTTCACTTAAGGACGCTTGTGGTTATTTCTCTGTCTGGGTTGGTTGATGTGTGGACAATTATGATTATACATAAGAGACTATACTTTTCTTTTATCATGTCGCCACTTGTCAGCTCTGGCGGAGTCTTATAAAACCTGTGATGTTTGGTAGTATTAAACTCTTCTCACATGTGTCCGGGTCAAGCAGGACCGAACCCTTGATGTATTGGTGAGAGAGACGCACGTTACCGCTGTGCCACAAGGTCGTCCATGATGTAGTTACTTTAGTTTATTGTTGTTTTACTCACGAGGAACAAATGAAGTATAGTTTTGTTTGGATTTGGGTTAGTTAAGGTTTTACTGAGTGTATGACGGCCTTATCTCGGGTGAACTCACTTGACCATCTTGACGGAAGATACGTGACACAACCACCGTGTTTGTTGATTGAGAAGTGCTTGCTGTCTTTAAGATGTGCATTGTTGGTGATAGACTTATTTTTATTATCACAACAACAATAGACAGTTGTGTTTATAGATGGCGCTTTATTGTCTTGAAAAGACCTGAAATTGTCGCCCCCCCAGGCCCCGTTGTGGGTCGTTTGACCTGTGCCCGGGTGGGCTAATTCCCGTAAAAAAATAAAAACAAAAATAAATAAATAATACAGGGTGATTCAGCAAAGAGTACATTAAATTGGTGGATAAAATCCTTGGATAATTCTAAACCACACAGTCTCTATGGTAAAATGTCAGCTTCTGCATATGCCCACGTGTTCGTGACAGGTGCGAGCAAATTAAACATAGTCGAGGTATTCTGGAACGCGTCAGACAATCAGTGGTACGACGTGTACAGGCCTGCATTGAGGCAGAAGGGGGCACCTTTGAACATTTCCTTTAGGTTGTAACAAAGAGGGTCACACTGTACAGATCTGTGAATAAATGATTACAAAAACCTACGGGGGTTTCACTTCAAATTCACTCTCATTAATACATCTTAAATGTATTGTAACATGGAAACTATGCAGAATCTGACATTTTACCATAGAGACATTGTGGTTTAGAATTATCCAAGGGTTTCATCCTCCAATTTAATGTACTCTGCTGAATCACCCTGTATATGAAGCCACTGGCGGGCAACTGAAAAGGTATAAGGAAAGTCTTAAGACAAACCTGAAAAAAGTGCCAAATCGACCCCCTCACCTGAGAGACGATTACTCCACACCGTAATGCTTGGAGGAGCACTACACGAGGTGTCAATTCTGTGGAGTTATCCCGACTGCATGCTGAGGCAGACAAGCGCCAACGCCGGAAAGACGCTGCTGCCGCCCCTCCCGCACTAGATGTAGCCCTCACGTGCAACATTTGTGAACGACCCTGCCGGTCCCGTATCGGCCTTTCTATTCACCCCAGAGTTCACCAACGAAGGTGACATCCTTAGTAACTCGTATCATTGTATCATAGCTGGATGATCGTCAAACTCTATACCGAGTGACAGGAAAGTAGTAGTATATTAAGCCACTGAGTTACAGGTTTACTGTTTATCAGCCATATCAGACATTCCAGTAACCACAGTACAGCAGCAGCAGGACTTACCCCAGACCAACATATTCATCGCTGCAGATAACCTTGGTAGTTGAAGCACCTTAAACCTGAGAATAATTAGATAAGTTCCAAGTGGTTTTCGCCTCACTCTGTTGGTCCACACCCAAGGTAAAACTTACTTCCGCAATTTTTAAAAACTTATTGTTTATTATTTACCTTTTATTACAGTACGTGCTTAAAAATCCTCAGTAGTTGAAGCAGAGAAATACGCATTAGCCACATGCTATGTATTAGAGCAATGATTTCTCCATCTGATAACTTTAGTTACTGACGTTTATGAGTTAGTAAACTGTACTGTAGTCGATGTCTGTCATTACCCAGACACACGGCGTGAGGCAGACTTGTGTAGGGAAGAAGATGGAATTGATGTGCTGCGTCTCTCTCGTGTTTGTTGCTGTATTGAAAAGAATAAAATCATGAAGTCAATAAATAAGGTTGAGCCACTCTGCCACTCCCCACATGTGTACTGTAGTGTTAGGTTACGTTAGGTTATATTAAAGATGGGTTACAATTGCACCTCAGTTGTCGTAGCGTTACATGTGTTGTGAATTGGCAAGCGTTTACCGTCTCTCTGTTTCCTTGCCGTCAGAAACTTTTACAAATGAAGAGTAACTGTGATGGCTCCTGGCTGCAACGCGCATACATTATTAACTCAGATCAACAGAATTCAGAAAACTATTCACCATATCTTCGTGTAATCATTCAAGTGAGATAGAAACTGATTCTCTAGCAAGATTAGATGTTGTTGGTAGGTGCAGGTATATGCAAATTATACCTGCGGGCGGAGTCTATATTGTAGAAGGGAAATTACGATATGTTAAAGTTTATGATTAACTCAAAGGACGTCAGTACTCAGTCAAATGTACAGTGGTGAAGTTAGTGGATGGTTGCCCTACTAGAGATCACAGTCTTAAGTCAGAGGTAATTTCATTGCAGTTAGAGTTGTGAACTGTTGTAATAACCTACCAGAGAATGTTGTGATCGCACTGTGAATTCTTTAAAGACAAAGACTTGACCAACACTAGCACAAGTTGAGTTACATTCAGGAGCTGTTACATGCCCACTACTTGCCAATAGTATGTAAGAGAGAACAGACAGACCGACGCCCCGACTGGCTAGTAAGCTGACGAGTTGTGAAGAGGAGACAAGAGAGAAAAGAAAATTACCAAAACTATTTACGATTAAAACCTGTGGAGTTGAATTCTTTACTGTGAATAGTGAGTTCAGTGAATACTTTCCTTGACGGGAATAAGTGATGTTTCTTAAAGTGCGTCTTAGGTCAGTTCAGCTAAAGAATTGATTGAACCCGTTTCGCATGGCCTATGTACAGTTGCCTCCAGATGAACATACCACAGCTCGGGGTACAAGATGTGGCAACGCAGCTCCTTAGTCATGGCTGAGTGAGAGTGAAACGGTAAAATTACTGTTTGTGATAAGTTACAAACAATACAAGGATATAAAGAGATAAACAAGCCTCTTTAATACCTGTTATGGTGCATTGTTGTGTTGCCACGTCTCAAACCCTGTTGCCACGTCTCAAACCCGAGCCCTCACACACTCCCAGGTTGTGGTATGTTCATGTGGAGGCAACTGTACTTGAGTGTTGTTAGTTAAATTCATCTGCAACTGATCTGTGTGTGGGATCTCTTAAACTGACACTTTCCTCTATAGTGGTATATCATTAAATAGTAGTGATATATTAGTTAATATACTGAGTTAAAGAAAGAATATGTTGTGTAATATGACAGAGGTGATTCCACTGAAGAGTTTAACCATACCTACACTACCATTTGAGAATAAATATATTGATTTCTTTTATATGTCTTCCCTGTTAATACCCATCCGGCAGAGGTTACCGTCGCGATAGGTGAAGGAGGAGAAGAATGAACCGGGAAAATAAACCCCCTGGGGTGACCTATCGACACCCAGGGAAGAACCACCGACCCTCGGGGGAGAATCGTCCATCCTCCGTGCCAGCCCATCGCTATGCCAACGCCCTTACCAATGACGAGAATGAAACTGTCTTCCGATTACTGGGACCCCGCTGTCAGGTGAGTGAGTGACGGGGGTAGATGCGACATTGTAGGGGCTTATTGAGGATTATAGGGGTAAATATGAGGTAGTTTACGGCATTGGAGGGTACTAAGGACGCTTGGAGTTTGAAGGTAACTTTTGGAGATGGGAGAGAGGGGAAGTTAGGACACTACTAAGAATGATTTGGAGATTTGGAATACAGAAAGATATATTCATGGTAATATTTCAGTCTCAGGCAACCGGTGTAGTGCAGGTGTTTGGGACGGAGCCACCTTACCATAACTCGTGGCATCAGATGTTCGCTGGTGTGGCTACTTTTACCAAGGACAACGAGCGTAAATCTTTCTACATTCAGGTTAGTTCCATCTGTCTCTTGATCCACCCTGAGTTGTTGTGTTGATATTCATTCGTGTGTAAGTTTTTGGTGCTAACAAGGATTTTTGCGCATAAGTTTTTATTTTTTTATTATTTTTTATTTTTGTAGGTAAATTTATCTTCTTTTAGGGTGATCCCAAACCTTTCCTCTTTCCTTTATATATTTCTGTAAGTAATTAGTCTCTAGCATCACATTATCCTACAGTTTAATTGATTATTATTTCTGCAGTTAACTTTATACAGTGTCTCTCTCTCTTTATTGCACAGGTGTATGACATAATGGAGAAGAAGAAGAGATTGGAGCAGGAAATATACAAGGATTTTGAGTACCACACTTCAGTCTCCTTCTTCCATCAGTTCGAGGGAGAAGTGAGTAAATACTGTTTATATATTTCATAAGACAAATATTTATACATATGAGTATTGAATATCCCCCTTAGATTACAATAATTTGTTTATATCACCTTTAAATGTATAAACTAAAGGTGTGGGGAATCTCTTAACTATCTCAGCAGTATCCGTTTTCTCTAATACCGGCACAGTGTTAGGTGAAAACGTTTAGATGGGTAACTCACATAAACAGGATGTTGCATGTACGCTGGAGCATATAAAAATTTATCTCAAGTTTAATAAGTCTAGCATCACCATTTGTATTTGGCGTTCCTACAGTGTTACTATTATATTTTCAGTTCACTTATAAATACCTCTAAGGAAGCAAAGTTTGGAATGCGTACAGTTACTGTTGAGTCGCCATTACTGTTGTTACAGAGAAGTCAAATATAGACTGTGGATATATTAGGAAGGAATATATTTAAAGCTACAGGAATGAATTGCTTGAGAGAGAGAGAGAGAGAGAGAGAGAGAGAGAGAGAGAGAGAGAGAGAGAGTAGGCTGAAGGAAATAAGTAGAAATGAGAAAAATAAACATCCAAGAAGCAGCGGAGTATGTGAGAAATTGTGAGAACAAATCAAAATGAACCTTGAGGTCTCTACAATCCCTTCCCATGATATCAACACATGTAGCTCAATGCACAGACGCCATATAGGCACAGATAGCCCCCAGGATATTAACACCAGCTTTTGTTTGTTTGGTTTCAGGACCGGATGATCGGGCTGAACTTTTGTGACGAAGGTGATGCCCAGGGCTTTGACAACGCCATTAAAACCCTCATCAATAACAGGAAACGTAGGAGGGAAGGTGAGTTAATGAGTTCAGTCTTGGTTACCTGTCTAAAAAAAAATCACCTAGTCACCCACCTCCACCCCCACCCCCCTCATAACACCCCCCAACCCCTCATAACACCCCCATAACACCCCCACCCCCACCCTACCCCCATCCCTCCCACCCCCCAGTCTCTTTTATAATATCAAGCTAAAAATGTTTGATCTTACAGTGGCTTTGATGTGGTTAGATAAAGCCTTGGTTCCGTAGGTAAATGTAGCCTAATATCATTGAAACTGAACGAAGCTTTTGAATTAGTTGAGCTTAAGCTTGTTTTTTAATCACTGTAGTATTGGTGACCCTGATATAAGCATTGTATATATTTATATGTCAGTAGGTTTAAAGAGCAAAGAAAAGTAGAGAAAATCCATAATTAATTTTTTTTTTATATATTCTTGCCCTTAGAACGAAGGCGGGAAATAATGCAACAACAACAAACGAAGCTATCGGCAGGGATGAGACCACAACAACAACAACAACAACAACAACACCACCACCACCAACAACAACAGCATGAACAAAAACACCACAACATCACGGCACCAGCACCACACAAAGACAAAAAGAAAAGAAAAGTCAAAGTAGCTAAACGAGACAAAAAAAAATTCAGGTTAGTTGTTTCCCCATTACAAAGATAACACGTCACTAACACCCCATTACGCGTCACAAACACCCCACTCCACGTCACAAACACCCCATTACGCCTCACTCACTCCGCGTCACTAACACCCCATTACGCGTCACTAACACCCCACGTCACAAACACCCCATTACGCGTCACAAACACCCCACTCCACGTCACAAACACCCCATTACGCCTCACAAACATCCCACTCCACGTCACAAACACCCCATTACGCCTCACTAACACCCCCCATTACAGTAGAGGTGTTGTTTGAGGGTTAAATCCTGACTCGTTGTTAACTGGATGTTTTAATTTGGCAGCAAGGGAATGATTGGTACACCTTATGACTTCCAACACGTTAGTCACGCTGGGATCAACAACGACAACACCTGTACTGTGTCTAATGTTAGCGAAGATAAGGAGCTGCTAAACCTATTCTCTGTTGTAAGTATTGTGTGTGTAGGTGTGTGTTCAAGTATGTGGTAGAGAGGTCATGTATGTATTCAAGTATGTGGAAGAGAGGTCATGTATGTGGTAGAAAGGTCATGTGTGTGGTGAAGTATGTGGTAGAGATGTCATGTATGTGGTAAAATATGTGGTAGAGATGTCATGTATGTGGTGAAGTATGTGGTAGAGAGGTCAAAGCATGTGGTAGAGAGGTCATGTATGTGGTGACACATGTGGAAGAGAGGTCAAGCATGTGGCAGAGAGGTCAAAGCATGTGGTAGAGAGGTCAAGTGTGTAGTTAAGTATGTGGTAGAGAGGTCAAGTGTGTAGTTAAGTATGTGGTAGAGAGGTGATGTATGTGGTGAAGCATGTGGCAGAGGGGTCATATCTGGTTTCTTGAGAGTTGTACCAGTCTTGTATGCACTATATTAATGTCGTCCACCAGCTGCTTACAGTGTGGTCGTCTCAACAGGTTGGGTTAGACCAGACGAAACTGGCAGACGACAATACGAGGAAGTTTGTGTATGACTTTATTGATAAACACGGAGGTATAGAGGAGGCGAAGGCGGCCGACAGGAGATACTCTACCAAGCGGACCATGAGCCACAATCTTGGTAATAGAATAGCATCTGCACCTACACCTCCACCTCCTCGAGTTACTGCTTCCACTGGTTCCATAAATCCTCCACATTCTAGAGTTACTGCTTCCACTGGTTCCATAAATCCTCCTCCACCTCCTCGAGCTCTTCCGCCTGTACCACCTGGTGAGTGATGATTCATTTTTTGAATTGTTGTAGTTTTAACACGCTGAGGATTTTATGTTTTTTAAGTAAGTAATTTACACTTTAAGATAACTCTTATACACTACAGTATTATATGAACCAATTAGAATACCGTCGTCATATCTGAAGGTTGGCGACCACAGTCCTCTTCTCTAAACGTTCTCTGGCTGTTTTCACCAATCCTCTGAGGTTATGTATCTCTCTGGGGGCCATTTTTTAATTCCTTCATCCATCCCAGTCCTTCCCTCCCCCTGGCCCTCCTGCCCTCACCTTTACCCATTAATGTTTCTGTTATTATTCCCATCACCCCTAATTATATGACCAAAATATCTCAATTTTCTTTTTCTCTACATCTCAAGAACAAAATGTGTTGAAAGGTAAATATTACCGCATGCTGTTACACATTAGTCAGGAAGTCGATACTTTGACAGCAGTTAAAGAATGACCGGAGGATTCAGCTCACAGTAACAAGGAGTTACACATCACGTGAGCACCCCAGCCCAGCCCCTGCCCAGCCCTCTTACACATACAGTACTTGTACAGTTTCTTATATTAACCCTTTTGCTGTGGCAGGTTAATCAGTTGTTAGAACTTCACCTCAGTAGTGAGGATTATTAATAAATAAACAATATTGGACCTTTATTTATGATAGCTGTATATTTCATTTACAGAACGCCTCAGCTTTATTCATCCATCACCTCCAGTCAATCGCCACTATCAGGCAGATCGATATGTTGTAGACGACGGCCCCTTGCCACCACCTCCCAAATCTCTCGGGCTACCACCTCCTCCTCCTCCCTCTAGAACTCTTCCTTCACCTCCATCACCCAGTTCAAAATCTAATATTCGTGCACCTTCTCCCCCTCCACCCACAACAAAATATGGTCTTTCTTCATCTGCTCTCTCCAGCTATACTATCCCTCCCCCTCCACCATCTATGTCCAAAGGCAATATTCCAGCTCCCTCTCCTCCCCCTCCTCCATCTATGTCCAAAGGTAATATTCCAGCTCCCCCTCCCCCCCCTCCACCATCTATGTCCAGAGGCAATATTCCAACTCCCCCTCCTCCCCCTCCACCACCGCCATCTGGAAGAGGTCCTCCAGAACCTCCTCCTCCCAAGGGTGGAGTCTTAGGTGGTCCTCGGCCTGCTGTTGACCCTCACGCTGCTCTCCTGGAACATATCCGTAAAGGCTCCGGGACTCTTAAGGTAAGCTTCGACCTTCCTCTATTGATCTAAACATACAACTAATAACTTACAAGAGGTATTTAGTGTGAAGTACATTATATATGACATCGCTCCCCCCTCATCCACCTCTATTAACTAAGTCACTCACCACCACCATTATAGGTGTCCATTATACCTCTTGACATGATGATTTATATAACCAAAGTGTTTTGTGGGAACCAACAGAAGGCAGAACAGTCGTCGCCCCCGCCTCCCTCCACGGACTCACGCACTCAGCTCCTGGAAGACATTAAGAGTCGCGCCTTCAAGCTACACAAGGTTAGTGTGCGGGACTGACCATCTGACCATCTACACCTCTGTAATTGATTTGTTTCACCATGTTTAGTGTTTATCAAATATTTTATAACATTTATCAGTCTACTGATATTTCGTCTGATTTATTTATGTACAGTATACCATTTTCAGCTTCAGGTAATATAATATAATAATAACATAAACTAATAGAACATCATATATGATAAATGGTCTGTCTCTTGTAATGTGTCGTGCTCCTCACGCGGAGTAATGTTGGTCCCTGACGCACGACAAACACCATTTAAAGGACGTACCAAGAAAAATTAGAAGGATTTCAATTGCCTAGTTTTCACTATAGAAGGCAAGGGGCAGCTTGATAAAACTCAGTCGAGTGTTTCCTGGAAGTGACTGCCCGCCCCTCTAGAGGTCATTGCCTCAGGTTAAAGTTACCACAAGTTCAGAAAATAGTTAGGGTAAACATTTTTGGAGTGAGAGTTGTTAACTCTTCAAATAACCTGCCAGGGTGTTGTGACGGCACAGACTCGTTTGAGACCAGACTTGACCATAATGCAGGTTTAGACACATCCAGGAGCCAATACATGCTTAGTACTTGCCAACAGTGTGTAGCAGAGACGTGACTGACTGCTATTAACTGACAAGTGAGGAAGATGTTAACGTCAAATGAATCAACGGAATATCCACTTAACACTAGATCTGTTAAAGCTGTTGTTTCACAGTAAGGTTATCAGGTGGTGTGCCCGCAGGTGGAGGTTGAGGAGGTGGAGATGTCAGAGGAGGAGTCGCTGGGGCTGGAAGGGATCGCCCTGGACCTGCACCGCGCCCTCAAGGAACGAGCCCAGTTCATCCAACCTGGCGATGATGAAGAAGATTCCTCAGATGATGACGAGGATGATGAGTGGGACGACGATGGGTTTTGATGTGTGGTCTCTGTGATGATGGTGTGGCTGGGGTCAAGGTAGTGTGGCTGGGGTCAAGGTGGTGTGGCTGGAGAGTATATAGGTGAGATGAGTAGAGACTCTCATCATCTTTAAAGACTCCTACCAGGTTTCCTCACTCCGAGAAAAGTGAGAGAGATCAGACTACACTTCTACACCAAGTCCCTGGAGAAGTTTTCCAGAAGCAGAAACATCAACACTTTCTGTCTTGTAAAGAATTGGATCCCAGTTGTCTTATTGCCCCTCGTGTGTTTAGTGAAGTTAAATGTTTGTAAATATTGATTAAAAGATATAATTGTTTTAGTGTGAGGAGAAGAGTTTGTGTTTTATGAGAAGTTCAAGTAGAGGTAAAGTACAGAGGCGTAGTTTGGCACTACTCAGAGAGGGTTTATGTGTGATGCAGATTAAGTTTAGCAACAACACAAACACTTGAAATATCTGCTGTTTATTTTCATATATAACAAAGAGTTGTTCAGTATTTGTATTTTTACGAGCTTTTTCACCATTATTTCTCTATTGAAACAAATTGATCAAAAAATATTGGTTATATATCTGTAATTGTACACAAATGGCCGACACAACACGGACATACACCTGATCTAGGCCGAGGGTAGAGTGTCCACTATACATCTAACTTTGGTTTTGGGAAAATTACAATGACACAAACTTCTCCAATGAGGTCCCGGTCTCTGGTAAACATGAATACTCTGTGTCTTTACTCGTCAATTATTTTTACGTTCCTTTGTTTTTCTCGTTCACTTGGGTCACGGGGTGTGAGCCCCCAGACCCTTCCCTATTATATTACTGACACAATGAATTATTTCAGGATCAGTTAAGAGACTTGGGGTCGGATACAGCGTGGACCGCCTGGCTCTTTCCTGTTGTTACATTTTGATGTTAATTATCATTGAAATAATTGTATATGAATAGTTTATAGCTGTTTAAAACATTATTTTAAACTGCTTGTCATCATCGCCTCTCCTTAACTAGTAAATGTTATATATATATATATATATATATATATATATATATATATATATATATATATATATATATATATATATATATATATATATATATATATATATATATATATATATATATATATATATATACAGTATATATACCTGCACTCCATTTATGAATGTAAATAATTTTTTTGTTATATCTGTGTATTATTTTGAAGAAAAAAACGTTGATGTCTAAACAAATTTATTAATGACAACTTTAGTTTTACTTTAATTTTATCCTCTTCGGCACTGATCAGCCTGTTACCCTCTTGGACTACTTACACTGTTGGCAAGTACTAGGCATGCACCGGCTACTGAATGTATCTGAACCTGCGTCCGTGTTGGTCAAGTCTGGTCTTGAAAGAGCTCACACTCGGTGCCGTCACAACACTCTCTGGTAGATTGTTCCAAGAGTTCACAATTCTCACTCCGAAAAAGTTTGTCCTGACAATTTTCTTCAACCTTGAGCTGTGACCCCTTGTGGGGCGGGCGTCCACCAATCCAGGTATGGGCACTCGACCGAGTAGTGCTCTCTGCGATGCTTATAAACTTCTATTAAGTCCCCCCTTGCCTGCCTTTAGTATAAGCTAGGCAGTTGCAGGCGCTCTAATCTCTCTGGATACCCGAGGTGCCGTAACGCGGGCACCAGTCTGGTGGCCCTCCTGTGGACATTGTCATCAACAGACTTTCTTTATGGTGGTGTAGCTCCAGTATTATCACATCCTCTCAAGCTTAGTCCCTACTCTTTATTTCTTCTGGTGATTACCTTAATGCTTACATAACTTAACCTAACCTAGTGCTAACTTAACTTAATACTAACCTAATCTAACATTCACCTAACCTAACGTTAACCTAACACTAACTTAATCTAACGCTAACCTGATGCTAACCTAACACTAATCTAACCATAATTAACCATCGAGTTGCGTTAGGATGTTTGGTCATCAGCTGAAATAACCTGGGAGGCTTATCTTCAAGTGATCCTTCTTATCATTATCACACGGCGTCCAAGTGTAAATATGTGCGGGTCCCTTTGTTCCTCGGGTTGTGCTGTTGATGTACACACACACACACACACACACACACACACACACACACACACACACACACACTACTACTCGAGTCCTCAATAAATATCATTCTCTGGTAATATTATGTGTATTATCACCATGGCTCTTCCTGGTGCTATTATTACCACCAGCTACAACACTCACACCACAACACTTAGAAACATAATCTCCCGGACATACCAGAAGGAGGAGTCTAACCTGACACTGGTGGATCTCACGGTCGGCGGGGCTCCAGTGTTGACAAAATCGGCACACTTTTCCCGCGTCAGGGGTGTGAGGCCCATACACAGATTTTCATTCATGTCTACGTTAACGAGTAGTGGGGGTGAGGATGAGAATGTGGGTTACGTCATTGGGAGGGTGAGGTGAGGTGAGGAGGCCGGCCACGTGTTGCTTGGTGGAGGGGAGTGTTGTGGTCTCCTGTCGTCAACTCCCTGCGGCCGCCACCACTACCACCACCACCTCACTCGTGCCACTGACTTCCCTTCTCTTCCCCGCAGGCCCCGGAAGTGGACGAATGAGGGAGAAATGTGCACTGACAATGCTTACAGCACATGTGAGTTCGTAGAAGATGAGTATGTGTGTGTGTGAGGGAGTGAGGGAAGGGGGCGTAGGACGGGGGAGGGGCGCGGAACGGTCAGTGTGTGTGAGGCCGTCAGTGGAGGTGGACGTTGCTCGGGTCTGCGCGTAGTCACTGGATGCTGGTGTGTGTTGACTCCAGATCCTCGCTCTCTCCTACACACAGGTGAGGCGCCTCCCTTCTCTCACACATGCCCCCACCCCCCCACCTCTCTCTCCCTCCCTCTGAGTCTTCTCTTCCAAGTCTTCATTATCACAAGACATCTGACCACATCCTTCCCACAGTAACCACACCATTACCTGTCCCCACACACACCCACACACCACTTGTCCCACACACACTCCACACCACCACCTGTCCCCCACACACACACACCACCACTTGTCCCACACACACCACCTGTCCCCCACACACACCCACACCACTTGTCCCACACACACTCACACCATCACCTGTCCCACATACACCCACCACCAACTGTGTCCCTACACCCACACCACCACCTGTCCCCACACACCCCACACCACCTGTCCCCCACACACACCCACACCACCACCTGTCCCCACACACCCACACCACCACCTGTCCCCACACACCACCCACACCTGTCCCTCCCACACCCACACACCACCATCTGTCCCCCACACACCACACACCACCTGTCCCCCACACCCACACCACCACCTGTCCCCCACACACCTTACCACCTGTCCCTCCCACACACCCACATCCACCTGTCCCTCCCACACACCCACACCCACCACCTGTCCCTCCCACACACCCTACACCACCATGTCCCCCACACACACACCACCACCACCTGTCCCCCACACACCCACACCACCACCTGTCCCCACACACCCACACCACCTGTCCCCCACACACCACTGTCCCTCCCACACACCCACACCACCACCTGTCCCCCACACACCCACATCACCACCTGTCCCCCACACACCCACACCACCACCTGTCCCCACACACCCACACCACCACCTGTCCCCCACACACCACACTACCACCTGTCCCTCCCACACACACCACCTCTCCTCCCCACACACCCACACCACCACCTGTCCCCCACACATCCACACCACCACCTGTCCCCCACACACCTACACACCACCTGTCCCCCACCACCACCACCCACCACCCCTCCCACCACCCCTCCCACCCACCCCCCTCCACCACCCCTCCCACCACCCCTCACACCCCCCTCACCCCCCCTCCACCCACCCCCCACCCCTCCCCACCACCCCCCTCACCCCCCCACCACCCCTCACCACCCCCCACCCCTCACCACCCCTCACCACCCCTCCCCACCCCCCACCCCTCACCACCCCTCACCACCCCTCACCCACCACCCCACCACCCCTCCCCCCTCACCACCCCCTCACCACCCTTCACCACACCCACCCCTCACCACCCCTCACCACCCTCACCACCCCTCACCCACCCACCCCTCACCACCCACCACCCCTCACCCTCACCACCCCTCACCACCTCACCACACCACCCCCTCACCACCCCACCTCACCACCCCACCACCCCTCACCACCCCCTCATCACCCCTCACCCACCCCTCACCCACACCTCACTTTATGTTTGACTGGGCTGTCCTCTCCCCCCCGTCACCACTTCGTATAGTGAACCTCACCACATACTTGCCTCCTCCCTCATACTTACCTCACTCATACTTGCCCCATACTTGCCTCCTCTTCCTCCCTCATACTTACCTCCCTCTTCCTCCTCATCTTGCCTCCTCTTCCTCCTCACTTCCCCTCCCTTCCTCCCTCATACTTACCTCACTCATACTTGCCTCACTCTCTTCCTCCCTCTGCCCTCCTCTGCCTTCATACTTGCCTCACTCTTCCTCCCTCATACTTACCTCACTCATACTTGCTTCATACTTGCCTCACTCTTCCTCCCTCATACTTACCTCACTCATACTTGCCTCATACTTGCCTCACTCTTCCTCCTCACACCTGTTCACCTTTGCTTCCCAGATAAACAGATGTTGTCCGTAAGTTACTCTTGAGATACACGTGTTTCTCTTCTCATACGTGACTGACACACCTGTACTGTGTTCCTAGGAGGCAGGTGTGTCTATAACCAGGTGTTGTCTGACCTTACTCCGCGTGAACAGGTGTTTTATTTTATCTCACACACCTGTTAGATATAATAATTGTCGGTAAAACTGTGCAGGTGTGGTTTTCTTCACTAATGACACCACACACCTGTCCTGTAACCCCCCCCCTCCTCCCCCTCAGGATGTAGGTATGTGCGTGTGTGTGTGTGTGTGCAACAGGTGTTTTCCCCCACAATAACACAACACAACACAACACAACACAACACAACACAACACAACGTATCAAGCAGACATGAAATAGGTTAGGAAAAGACATAAGCCATATTCACAGACATAAGACAGCTGCAGGTAGTAAAGCCATATAAAGATACCTCCTCCTCTTCTTCCTCCTCTTGTGGCTTTTAAAAATATAATGATTCACCAAGCACATTATCGTAAGTTGGGCACATATTAAAGACTGACCTCTGATCCTAACTTGGAATAGCATATATACTTGTAGGGTATTGGTCCTGTATGGTGTATGGATAACGTGTATGTCTTATGAGTATGGTTGTGTTTATGTACTGAAACCCTATTGAGTACGATGGATTAGCCCCTTGAGTACCTAGTTAAACTCTTGTGTACGATGGATTAGCTTACTGTAGATGTTTAAAGCCTTTGAGTACGTAGCCATCCTCTTGAGTACAATGCATTAGTCGAGTAAAGATGTCTTAATATCTGGAGTACGGAGCCAATATCTCTTGAGTACGAAGGAACGTTTAACCTCTTTGAGTACAACGGCTGAGGCCCTTTGAGTCCAGTATTAACGTAATCCTTTCATTAGTACTCAGGGTAATAATAATAATAATAATAATAATAATTTACAGTAAAATATTCCACGAATTAAATAGCCTGTCTTCTCAATAACGAGGCTGAGTGACACGTAATAAATACAGTTCAATATAACGAGTGTGAGGGGACAGAGAGAGCGAACACACACACACACACACGCTCACGCTCACACACACACACACACACAGTTAACAACATTATCCCAAACATACTTCACTTGTTAACTCATAATGTTAAGTGTGAGATACGAACAAGAGTGGAAACATGCCTAAAGAATTTCAAACATGGCGGTGGTAAGCGAGGGGGGTGCTGAGGTGTCCATATTTTCTTATATTTATGTCTATTATTCAGTGTATTAGTCGTATTTAATGTAGTTACAGGGGCTAGGGGTGTACCTCTTGGTGGTCTTGTCGTAGTTAGTATTGGTATAGGAGTGTAGTGATGGTGTACCGGGCCGTAGTTGGGTGTGTGGGGTACTCTGAGCAATGGCCAATCTCGTTTTATATATTTAATTATGTAATGTTGGAGCCACAATGGTCTCTCGAAATTGCTCTCTTACACAATTCTGGGTCCGTCTATGAGTGTCCTTATTCACTGCACCTAACCTAACCTAACCTAACCTAACTTATGTAAAAAAAAAATATAATAACAGTTCAACAACAATAATTTCGTCTCTGGAGTGTTTACAAAGTTCCTTGATGTTTGAATTTGTTTTCGCATTATTGAAATCCCCAAATTAACACAAAAAATCAACTTTATTAACATCTGTATTATAACTGTATTCTTCATCATGTTCTCCAGTGTGAGCTACAGGCGAAGTGGTAAAGAATACAGCTAAGAACGAGGTATATATCTTTGTTTTAGTTATATAATTTCATCAAGGGACTTCGTAAACACACTGTATGTAATGGTTATATCACTAGCCGTCAGAAAATATTTACACCCGTAGTCACTGACCCTCTTGTAAACACCACTACATCTCTATTAATGGCGGATATAATACTGTACTCTTATTTAACCTTTATTCACTTACTTGACAGGCAGAGATGAATCGTCCTCCACTTGATCTTGATATTTGAGTGAGTGGTGATGTACAGACACGATCTTCAAGTGTAGTTAATAATCAATTTTTTTTTTAACCCCGCGGGATCTTGTCGTCCAATAATGATGTTTACTTGTTGTTGTCACCTCAAAGGATTATATTTATTTCGTATATTTATTCGTTAATTAAGAAAACTAAAATGAATAAACAGTAAGATATAAAAATAAAAGGCTAATATTTTTATTTATGTCTCTTGGGGTAAATAATAAAGGGAGGGAGAGTTTAGCCATGTTCATCCTACCACTCATGACGGCTCCAATATTATGTCACTGAGTTTCCTTCCTTCTTCTCCTTCTTCTCCTTCTCCTCCTTCTTCTTCTCCTTCTCCTCCTTCTTCTTCTCCTTCTCCTCCTTCTTCTTCTCCTTCTCCTCCTTCTTCTTCTCCTTCTCCTCCTTCTTCTCCTCCTTCTTCTTCTCCTTCTCCTTCTTCTCCTCCTTCTTCTCCTCCTTCTCCTCCTTCTTCTCCTTCCCCTCCTCTGTGCCCCCGTTTGGTAAGATAACACTACTCCCTTTGTTATTGTTCTTCTTCGTGTTATTGTTCTTGTTCGTGTTCCAGTAGACAGTTAAGTGAAAAACACCAGTATAACCTGATTAAAGCTATCTCTCTTTCTCTAACTCACCCATACACTCTCTCACTTTCTTACTCTCTCTCTCTCTTTCTCTCTTTACCTCTCTCCTTGTCTCACTCTCACTCTCTCTCTCTCTCTCTCACACCTCCCCTCTCTCTCTCTCTCTCTCTCACTCTACAGGTGAGCAATAGAGGTGACAGGCAGGCAGAGGTGACAGAAGCAGATTAGTCTTTATCGTGTCTCTAGATCCGGTGTGTGTGTGTGTGTGTGTGTGTGTGTGTGTGTGTGTGTGTGTGTGTGTGTGTGTGTGTGTGTGTGTGTGTGTGTGTGTGTGTGTGTGTGTGTGTGTGTGTGTGTGTGTGTGTGTGTGTGTGTGTGTTTATTTTTGGTGTTTTGTATTTGTAATGGACTTAAAATGTAATATTTGTGTGGACTTAAAATGTAATATTTGTGTGTTAGGTTAGTTGAGTGCCCATTAAAACTGGGGCCCCATTAAGACTAAGGGCCCATTAAGACTAGGGGCCCCATCAACCCTGGGGCCCATTAAAGAAAACAACTTGACCTGGATTTAAAA